GCAGCATCTTGGCAAAAGTTGCGGCCCCCGAGCAGCCCGCGACGATCGCGCCGTTCGGTTCGACGACGGCAGTCGCAGCGCCCCCTTAGAGCAGCACGCGGAAGACAGCATAGATGGAACAGTAGCCTCTGATCAGACGGACGCACGGGGATGCCAAAGCGTTTAGCTGCGGCGAGCAGGTGCTCATGGTTCACATTCCTATAGAATTTGGCCCGGTCCAGGAGCGCCGAGGCCGTTTCAAAGCCAGCTTCTCGACAGCGGGCACCGAGCAGGCTGTGGACCCAACCTGCCCGCTCGCATGTCGTGTGGGGACCGAGCCCTAGAAAACTCGAACACGTGGGACTTCTCCCATGAACGACAATATGGCTGCCTCCACCGGCTCCAAAGCTTCATGAAGAAACGCAGCAGCCCTGTAGGCCCGACACCGCCCGACGGCTTGTCCAGGAAAACCACACTGGTGAAGAACATGATAAAAGTCCCAGGGTCCACTTCGAAGAGCGCCAGAATCTCCAAGAGGCGAAAGTGGCGACTTTCAGGAAGCTGTAGCGCCCGCCACGAACGAAAGCCGCCCCAACCGAGGCCCGCCGAAGGCCCGTATTTCATACACGCACGAAATTCGCCGGCCCAGCGGGCCAGAGGCGTGCAAAGATCGCTGGTAACTACTTAACAATATTTCTAGTTCGCGCGCGCGGGGAGGCCCCTGGGGGGCCCCGGGCGAAAAGCGCCCCGGCCGTTCCCCCGCTGACCCGGGGGCGATCCCCGAGGGGGAAGCTATTTTCCGCCACCCATCACGAGGATCGCGGCCTCCGATGGGGGGGGGGGGGGCAGCAACTGCCCCCCCTCCCGCCCCAAGGGGCTCCCAAGGGCCTCCCAAGAGGCCCCAGGGGGGCCCAATGCGCCGCCAAGGAGCCCCAAGACGCCCCCAAGAAGCCCCCAAGAAGCCCCCAAGACGGTCCCAAGAGGCCCCAAATAGCGCCCCAGGGCCGGCGGAATAAGCGAAGCGATTAAAGAAGTCTTCCAGCTTGAGCGGGGATGAGGCGGGCCCCTCGGCTGGCGGGCCGCGCCCGGCTCGGAGCCGCATGGGGCGCCGCGCATCTAGCAGCTACTGAAGGGCGGCCTGACAAGCCACAGGAAGCCGAGAATCATCAGCGATACCTCTCGGGCGACCTGGTGCTCGGAGAAGGCGCGGGCAACTTTGCCCCCTCCAGTAGCGGCTGTCATGGCCCACTCCTTCCAAATCGCCAGTTGCAAGACCGAGTCCAGCCGCTGGCGACGAATGCATTCCTTGTCGATGCCTTCGTGCATCTCCTTGTCGCAAGGGCCCGTATCCAAAGCAGCATGGATCATGGCCAGCAATTGGGCCTTGGTGGGCCCCTCGTCGACCAGCTCCAAATCGTTGAGGATGTTACGCAGCTTGGACTTCCAGGGCCCTAGCAGCGCTCTCCCCTGGGCCCTGGGTTCGCCAAGCTGATGCTCTGACTTTCCTGAGGAGTGCCTCGAACGAAATCCAGCGCACCGTCTGCTTGGAAAAACGACGGCGGTGATCCCTCTCCAGGAGGGCAGCAAGAGGAACTTTGCGGGTCTGGGGCCCAGCGAACGTAACTCTTGGTTCACATTTCCCATGGAGCCCCACCAATCGAGCTTCGGCTTCGCTGGACCATTCCCGAGACAAGGCGTCGAGGTCATTGACAAGAGGGCCATTCCATTGGACGTCCCGCTCCTGCGGCAGCGTGCCCATCAGCGCGGTGCTGAACAGCTTGAAGCGCGTCTGCTGTGAAACCACTGCGGCCTGGCAGAGGTTCCCCATCCGAAGCAGCACAGGGCAACGGAGAAAAAGAGGCGCTACCTGGACAACCTGGACGTCTTTCACGCGCGTGCTGATGACTGACGAGGCGACAAAAAAGTCGAACTCCTGTCCTCCAATATCATGCTCCGTCATCTCCTCCTCCAAAGCTTCCCCCGAGGCCGTCCCAGGAGTGCAGGCGCAGCAAAGCGGCTTGTCGGGCGCAGCCGCTGCGCCGTGCACGTGCAGGACCCAGCCTGAGATCGACGCGGCCGCGGGCGCAACATTCCAGCCCCCTTGGGCGATCCACGGCCTCGGCGCTTCCAAAATCTCTAAAGATCTCCCTTGCAACACCTGGGTCGTTGATCAAATAGACACTGTAGATCTTTAGGCCCTCGTCGAAGCCAACGTTGACGACCCGACCTGCGACCCTCCTGTCATAATTGCCAACTCCTGGAAGCTCCACGGGCTCCGAGGCGATCTCCCCCGCGACCAAGATCCCCACTCCTCCTGAACTCCGAAGGGGCCCATCACCAGTTCTGATAGCCTTCCCGAGAGATGTCTGGCATCCACTCGTGCGGGCCCACCCTTGGGCCGAAATAATCTTGTCGGGGGCCTCCAGGCGACTCTTCTGGAGGGCGACCACCTGGAACTTGTTCTGTACGAGGCCCCGCGAAGCAACTTCGGGATCTCCAGCTCCAGCCCCGTCGCGGACCCAGTTCACTACTGTGTCTGCTGTCAACCAACTGTTGACATTGGCGCCTACGATGCACAGATCAGCAGATCCCTGAGCTACACCGGGGGCATTTTCGTCAGCAAGGCGATTCTGATCAGGAGGTCCGCGCCCACTCCTGTCGGCTACTGACTGACGTGCTTTCGAAACCGCATCGAGCGCAACGTGGAGAGGACAGAGGGCAGCTCGTCCAAGCGCCGAGCTCCCTGGCGCCTGCGTCCAGCGAGCGCCCTGCCCGCCCCCCTCGCGCGCATTCGCCCCCGCCTCCTGGGGGGGGGCGGGGATCGAACAGGGGGCGACGGTGAACCTGGGGGCCCCACGGGCTCCCAGGATTTGCGCCCTGACGCCGACGAACGCCCAGACGGCGGCGGGGTCGAGGAGAAGGAGGCCGCGCCCGAGCTCCAGGCCGCCGACGGCTTGCGCTTGGCCCCAGCCCAGGGGAGGTGCATCCCCGGCCAGCTGGGGCAATTTTGGGGGGCGCCGGAGACGCGCAGCTCGCGCTTGAACACGAAGCACTTGCGGGCAGGCGGGTCTGCCGAATGGGGCATGAATCCCCTTCCCTCCTGCCCTTCAGACCCGCGCCCCTCGGCTTCGGCTGCCGCCCAGCCGCGCCCAGCTCAGGCCACGCCTGCGGGTCGAGCGCATCTGCCTCGGCAGCGCCCTCAGCGTTGCTCCAGACCCAGTCGAGCTGGTCGTCAAAGCCGCTGTGCTCGCTTGAGCCCGAGCGCTGCGAAAACTTGGGCATGCTTGCGCTTGGCCGCCTCCTGAGCTTCGCCTGGATCAGCAGCCTTGAGCTCCTCTCCTGCTTTGCGGAGCTCCTCGGTCCGCTGCTCGAAGTCGCCAGCTCCCAGCAGCTCCACGTCGATGTCGTCTGCGTCACCGTCGCTGGCTGCCGCGTGCTCGCCACTCCCTGCTGGGGCAGGGGCAGGAGCGCCAACAGCTGCTGCAGCATCATCAGCAGCGCGCTTCGCCTCCTCGGCTGCACACTGCAGCTCCTTAAGCTTCTCCAGCGCTGCCTTCCCCTCTGTGGCCTCGACAACGGACGAAGCGAGGCCTGCCGACGTGGCTTTGAAAGGGCCGTCGAACTCGCTGGCGTGGGCTTCGCACGGCAGCTCCTGCGCCTGCGCCAGGTCCTCGCGCCCAGTGGCAAGGGACTCGTTGGCCGTCGCAAGCTCCATGGCCAAAGACTCGCGCTGCCGCTCGATCTCGCTGACCCTCGCCTCGAGCTTCCCGAGCTTGGTCTTGAGGTTTCTGGACCTGCCAGCGCGCCGACTGCGCAGTGGGGGCCAACTCCTTCCCTGCTTCCGTAGCCTTCGCCTCCGCCTCCTCACCGCCAGAGTGGCAGCGCTGTCGACCCCGGGCTTCCTGAGGTAGGCGAGCACATCCTGTCCAACAGCGGAGGGGGGTCACAGCCTTTGCCACCGCCCCCCCCCCCCCCCAGCCCATGGCGGCGCAGCCCCAGACGCGGGCCGAGAGCCTCCAGTGAGCTTCGCCACCTGCTGCTGCAGGTCCTGGAGCTGCTTGAGCAACTTCGAGTTGACATTCCCTGGTGGTCCGTTCGCCCATTGCCCCATTGGCTGCTTCGGTCCTGGACCAGACGGCCGCGATGCCGGCTTGGCCCTGGACGCAGCAAGGCGTGCCGCCTGGACGTGCTTCTGCGCAGCTGGGCGCCCGCACTGACGGCGCGCGATCCTCGACGCCCAGTTGTCCGCGCAGCCACGGGGGCAAACCAAGTGAGGCAGGCGCGGCCCAAGCAGCACTTGGCCACCGGGCGGTGCCATTCACCGCGGGGGTTCCCGCAGCTCTGAGAGTTGGCCTTCCAGGCATCGAGAAAAAAACAATCGATTGGGCCGCAAGCGCGAGCCGCTCTGAAGCACGCGCTTGCAAGCCCAGGCCACAACAGCCTGAGCCAGAACGGCTAGGAAGAGACGGAGGAGGGGGGCGAGGAGGAGGAGGTGGAGGAGGGACGAGAGACGAGGCCTGGCGCAGCCGTCCGTCGGGGCGAACAGCTGGCGGCACGGCCGAGGCGGCCAGTCCTCAAGCGAGGGCGAAGAGGGCGCCCACCACGAGCAGCACCGCGGGCCCGCTCCCGAGGAGCGGGCCAGACTGGCCATCAACGTAGCCGAGGACGCCACTCCCGCTGCACTCCCCTAAGGAGCCAAGCGGGCCGTAGGGTGCTGACGGTCCTCACAAGGGCGCGGAGGGCCCAGCACAGGATTAAGTGCGCGGAGTTTCCATCGATGCAGTGGGCGAACTCGCTGCACGGAGCACGACGTGGTCTAACACCTCCGTCATGAATTCGGGCCAGTCGCAGCACGAACATCACGGCCTGAACCCCACGCTGGATCAGCGCGAGGTACATCATGCCCCGCAAGACCTGCAGGCAGTCCAGCAGCCGCCCCGTCGCGTGCCTCAGCGGCTGGCGCTTGCAAAGTGAGAGACACATTCTCCTTCGGGTGAAGGCCTCGAAGGAGCCGCTTCCTCCTCGTCTTGATGTTGGAGAGGTAGGTCTTACCCTCCCCCTCTCCCGTGGGAGCTCCTCCGCACATGGCCATCAGCTGCTTGGACACGCCGCCGCCAGACCATGCCGCGCACACCTCGCAGAAGACGGCGGGCCCCGCACAGCGGAGACGATGCCCGTTGCAGACGTGCGCGTCGGTGGAGTGCCATTCAGAGACCAGCGGCTCAGCAGCACAATCGAGGCCAAGCATGGTCTCTGAGCCTCGACCACCAGCGTGCAGCTCCCAGCCTTCGGCATCTGACCCACGCTCAGCTCGATCAAGAGCGTCCATGGCAAAGGCACCTGCAGCAGAGACATGGCCCCTGGTGGCACCACAGAACTGGATATTGGCCTCCGCACGCAGCTCGCCCACTCTGTTGGCCAGGCACGGGGCGCGAAGGTAGAAGTTCCACGCATCCGTTGAACCCGAACTGGTACGTCTCGCACAGCGCCTGCATACATAGGAGCCATCACGCAGCTTGGCAACAGCGTGGGGCGTGACCTGCACGGGCGGCTGCTTGACCTCCTTGGGACGCCACGGTGCGTCCGACACCTCTGGCTCCCACCTGCCCGCCTTCAGGGCGCGCTGCATGGCCCAGCCGATGTGCGAGGCCACCTTCTTAGCGAACGCGACCCCCGCCTTGTAGATGCCCTCGTAGACCTTAGGCGGTGCGTGTGAATCTGCGCCGCGCCTGGCAAACCAGTCGGCCCACAGATTGCCGAGAAAATGTACTGGGCTGAGGTCGCGCTCGATGTAGTCGTCGATGCAGCGGCGGGCAGGGATCCAATGAACCTGCGGCCGCCGAACTTGGGCGCGGAGAGAGCGCCAGACCGTCGCATGAACAACAGCCGCTCCCTCAAATTCTGGACCCCAAGATGCCGCCTCCGACTCCAGAGCCAGCAAATCCGCGAGCACGACCTCGAGCTTGGTGCCGAAGTGCCGCACCGCCATGAGGAGCGCGAACCTCTCCGACCTGCCGACCGTCTGCAAAGGCCCTGGCAGCGGCCCCTACACCGCGCGTAGCGGCCATCCCTGCGCCGACATCTGCACAGCTGCCCATCCGCGCCGTCGTATTCCTGGTATAGCCGCCGCTAACCCAGAACCGTCGGTGTAGACAACATTGCCGAACTGCAGCTCCTCGGTGTTCCAGTCGCCCCAGAAGTGCGCCGGCAGGCCCGTGGTGACCTTTGGGGGGGGCGGCGGCGCACAAGGAAGGCAAACCCCCACCTCGAACTCGTCGAACGAAGTCTGCAACCCCTTGTCATGCATGAAGTCACGGGTCTCGACGAACTTGTCGGGCACCACCTCTCCTGCGACCTCAGTGTCGTCCGCTGGGGCCAGCGCCTCCTCGCAACCGAAGAACCTGTGCCCATGTGAATCGCTCGGCGCACCGCGCGCCAAGCAAGCCGCCGAGCCTGCCAGCTTCAGGTCGTGCTTGGCCTGCCTGGTCCAGGGGACGCCAGCCCAGTGTGCGCGCAAGCGTGATGCCGTCGGGCCTTCAGAGACCGCCGCCGACTTGGCCTTAAGACACTGCCGTAGGGCCCGACCCCACAGCTCAGCGTTCTCGCCCAACGGATGCTCGAAACGCGACATGATGCGCCGCCCCTGCCATCGCTCGGTCGACTCGACCAGGTGGCATCTAAGATCTCGAGGACTGATGGCCATGAGGTTGAACTTCTCGTCCCTGTCGTTGACCAGAACCGTCGACGAGTGCATATGCCGATCTATGCGCCACAAGGTGGGGATAGTCGCCGGGATCGGACCTCTTGCATAGGTCCACGTCGCCTTGTCTTGCCTCACCATCTGGGTGGTGATATGCGCCCAGGCATTGTGCAGCTTGCTCAGCGACGTCCTCTGCTCCCAGATGGTGGCGGCGTATCTGCAGATGAGTCGTATTCCTGGTATAGCCGCCGCTAACCCAGAACCGTCGGTGTAGACAACATTGCCGAACTGCAGCTCCTCGGTGTTCCAGTCGCCCCAGAAGTGCGCCGGCAGGCCCGTGGTGACCTTTGGGGGGGGCGGCGGCGCACAAGGAAGGCAAACCCCCACCTCGAACTCGTCGAACAAAGTCTGCAACCCCTTGTCATGCATGAAGTCACGGGTCTCGACGAACTTGTCGGGCACCACCTCTCCTGCGACCTCAGTGTCGTCCGCTGGGGCCAGCGCCTCCTCGCAACCGAAGAACCTGTGCCCATGTGAATCGCTCGGCGCACCGCGCGCCAAGCAAGCCGCCGAGCCTGCCAGCTTCAGGTCGTGCTTGGCCTGCCTGGTCCAGGGGACGCCAGCCCAGTGTGCGCGCAAGCGTGATGCCGTCGGGCCTTCAGAGACCGCCGCCGACTTGGCCTTAAGACACTGCCGTAGGGCCCGACCCCACAGCTCAGCGTTCTCGCCCAACGGATGCTCGAAACGCGACATGATGCGCCGCCCCTGCCATCGCTCGGTCGACTCGACCAGGTGGCATCTAAGATCTCGAGGACTGATGGCCATGAGGTTGAACTTCTCGTCCCTGTCGTTGACCAGAACCGTCGACGAGTGCATATGCCGATCTATGCGCCACAAGGTGGGGATAGTCGCCGGGATCGGACCTCTTGCATAGGTCCACGTCGCCTTGTCTTGCCTCACCATCTGGGTGGTGATATGCGCCCAGGCATTGTGCAGCTTGCTCAGCGACGTCCTCTGCTCCCAGATGGTGGCGGCGTATCTGCAGATGATGTCGCACGAGGCCATATAGATCGGGTCGAACTCCTTTGCCTTCTGCGTCGCAAGGTGCAGCGTGAGGCCAGAAGAGCCAGCGCGCGCTCCGACGAGGCGGCCTGCCTCAGCCCGAATCCGCTGGAGGTGTGTGTCCGAGAGGCCAGCCACGCCAGCGCCATGGCCCGCACTGGGGAGCAGTACAGTTTCCCACAAGCCCACGACTGTTTTGCCCGTGACCTTCTGGAGCATCTGCAAGCGACGGCGTCGAGCAAAGATCCCAGCAATACGCTGCGAAGTGAGCCGCCTAACCTTGCGCGCTCCACATAGGTCTTGCCCAAGGTTGCGAATCCAGTTCTTGCATTTGAGAGCCCTTAGCCCCGCCATACTTCTTGCGCGCCAAAGCCACAGAAACACTGGAAGGAACATAACCCGACTTCTCGACCTGAATGCTGACGCCCAAGCATTTGGAACCCTCCCGCAAGCGCGTGGCGACCTTCCACAGATTCTCCAGCTGCTGGGGAGACGGCGCAATCCACTGCAGGCTGATGTCGTCGATCCGGGCCCGTGGCATGACTGACGAAGACCGAGCGCCGGCCAGCAGCCTGCGAAGCAGCACCGACACCAAAAAGCACGCATGGGAGCAACCATCCAATATGCCCTGCCACGCGATGACCTGCTCTGATACTGACCCAAACGCTCGCAACCGACGCGGTTGCCGATACGACCCGGCCAGCATCCACACCAGTCTGAGGCCCATATCAACCGCCCTCGCCTCGCTGAGCAACGCCAGCGGCTTGATCGTCTCAAAGAACTTGAACGCGTCCATGAGGACCGTGAGGGACTTCTGTTGGGTGGCCTCAGCGATCTCAGCCTCCAAATCAAGTTGGAAGGCCGATTCTGAAGGAGTGCGCCCCGAGCCCAGCCCCCATATATCAGCACTGGGACGCGCAGACACCCAGCTGCGAGAGACAGGGGCCCTTACTCGAGACCATATACGGATCATGCTGTCCATGAGCGTGATGAGTCTGCAACCTCCACTAGGCTTCGGAAGCCTCACCATCTCGTGCCAAACTCGTGCATCGGGCCATGCAAGGAGATCTTCACACCGCTCGAACAACGCCGCTAGAATACACAGTCCTTCGTCCGACAACATGAGGAAAGCGCGCACTCCAACCCTGCCAAGACCCGATGCCGTGGACGTCGGAAAGGAAGACATAGCCTGCCTCATCATGCTGACGGTGATGGCAGGAAGAGCAGGCCACTGGGCAGCATCCTCTGGCAGCTCTAGCTGTTGCAAATCGTGGCAGCGCCAAATCTTAGACCATGGTACCATCTCGCGATCACAAACTCGGTGAGGGGTCGCGGCCTTGTTGCTCCACCCAACTGGCCAGCACAGACTGCAGCTCCTTGGTCTTGGTGATGCGATGGGCCCTGCTGCCCCCCCGCGCGAAACTGCCCTTCGCGAAGCTGACCCAAGCGGCCTGCTTGACCTCTACCAGCTTGTCGTACCTCATCTTGCAGCGCTCGGCGATTTTGCTGGCTACCTCATCAAAGCCGCCCCTGCTGAGCACGCGGATGCCACCTCTGAAGAAGGCCTGCTCTTCGCTGGTCAGGTGGGGGAGAACTGTAGTGTGCGAGCATATCTTAGCCAGATAAGCCTTCGCTTCCAACAAGAATGCCGCAACCTTACTGAAACTCTGCGGTGCCAACGCACACGTGAGTTCAGCTCTGTGTCGTAGAAGTAGCTCCTTCTGTGTCGCGCCCACCTGGCCGCAACCGTCATCGCCTGCGCTTCTCTTCCCAGCCGTGCTCTGCGATCAGGTGGAACCCGCTCGACCGACTTGAGCGTAGTTTCGGTCTCGCCAGCACGTCCAGTGCGAAGTCTCCTGCGAGCGTCCACGATGTCATATCTGTCCAACAGCTCCGACCCCACCGTGGTTAGGACCTTGCCCCAAGCAGGAGGCAAGCCCTGGGAGTCAGCAGCAGCGCGAACCGCAGCATGCGCAGGGCCCCAGTCCTCGACCCCTCGAGCGCATCCAACTGGGGGTACCGCGGGAATGGCGAACGGCATGACAGGCACCCGAATCTTGAGATCGAGGTCGTCTGCTGCCAGCTCTAGATGCGCAGGAAGATGTGGAGATGCGGCCCCATCCTCCTGGACCCACGGTTCCCTCGCGCGAGGCGCCAGGTTGGCACTCAGCATGAAGTAGTCGATGGTTGAGCCCTTCTCGACCTGCGAAGATCGACACGTCGTAGCTCGAGGCACCGCAAAGAGCGCCTCGATGTCGGCGAGGCTAGAGTCCTCCAGCTTCCCCATTGCCATGTTGAAGCCGCCACGCATGATGTGTTCCATCTGCGCAGCCTCCAACTTCGCCAAGTAGCTGGCCAACGTCCACAGCGTGCGCCTGTTCTGCTCGTCGAGCCCCACGGAGTCAACCAAGTACAGAGACAGAATGACCAAGCCTCCTCGCACGCCCCAGTGGACACGCGCCGCTACGAGTCGCCCAGGAGAAAGGACTGGGTCCTTGGTGAACGGCGGCTTGGTGATGGTGATCGACGTCCTCGCCAATATCGCCACTCCCGCCGACGTGCCTGCTTCTGACGTACCACTGGGCACCGCAGGCGCCCATATGCCAGAAAATCCGAAGTCTGCAACCTCGCCCTGGAAGCTCGCCAACTTATCGTCATCCTGGACGTGATGCTCTTGCATGGCAATGACCATTGTCTTGGGCGGAATAGCCTCCAGACAAGCAGCCGCCGAGCCCAAGGACATGATATTAGTAGTCATGATATTACATTTCGCCGTTGTAGTGCACAAGCGAATGATAACCAGCAACATCCAGGAAGAGGTGGAGTTAGAACGGCTTGTGCCCGCCCTGCGCCAACCTCCTGGCCCGCTCGCGCAACTCTGCCTCCGTGGCGTAGGCACCGAGGCCCTCCATGGTCTTCTGCAGCACAGGGCATCCGACCGCGTCGGGATCCCATTGTACAGCAGGAGCAACTGCCTCCAGAACAGCATCAGGTGCAGCGCCGACTCCAACCCCTTGGAGACGAGGTCTTTTCGAGACGATGAGCTCATTGATTTGGCCCCCGATGCCATCCGCCAGCCTCTTCTGCGCGCCCGTATTGAACTGTGAGCCCTGGGTGAGCTTGGTGACAATCTGCTCAAGCTCCTCCGTCGTGACCCCAGGCCAGGGAGAGAGGCCCCAGCACCGTCAGCAGTCTCAGGAGCCCGTCCCAGCGAGGCCTGCAAGCGGCCCAACTCGCCCTCCAGCTCCGGCTGCTGCTTCTGCAGGCTCTCGACCAGCTCATCGGCCTCGACCTTCTTGGCGTTGGCCTTGGTGACCTGCTCGATCGCCGCCTGCTGCGCCACAATAGCCTTAGCGATCTTCGCCGAGCCCGTCTTGACGCGATTGGCCAGGGCGTGGACCTGCGCGTGGAGCGGCTTGGTGTCGAGCAGCTTCCTGCGCGTCTCCGCCAGCTTCGCCTCCAGGAAACGCTGCTGCTCCTCCGCCCAGTTGCCCATGCCGCCCTTGACCGCCAGCAGGTTCGCCTCCAGCACCTTGACCTCTGCAGCCAGCTTGGCGCCCACGTCGCTGTCGGGTGCCTCCTCAGGTTCGACCTGCACGGCACCCTCGTCGCGCCCGCCCTGCGCCGCAGACTTGGTCTTGCGCAGCTGCGCGAGCTCCGCCTTGGCTTCCTGCAGCGCCTTAACCATCTGCGAGAACTCGGAGCGCGGGGCGACATCGGCAGCGCCATTCGGCCGCGGCGGACGAGACGACGGCTCGGCAGCGACGACGGAAGGGCCACCGTAGACGGCGGATTTGTGAAGCCTGCACCCATGACGCTTGAGCTGACTCCCCCACGTGACCAAAGGCAAGCCAATACGAGGATGGACACAAGCGCGACAACGCCAATCCTGACGCTCCTTCGCCTGAGAAGCTCCATTGGCCATGGCGATTGGGCAGCGCACAGCCTACCCTTCGCCCAAAACTGGATCAAAACTGTCGGGCAGAGACGCCCTGGCACTGGCCGCGGACTAGCGGTATCCACGTGTTCCCCTGTGGAACAAAGCATCTTGAGCCAAAATGGCTACGGAGGAGGAGGAGGAGGAGGATGAGGATGAGGATGAGGATGAGGATGAGGAGGAGGAGGAGGAGGAGGAGGAGGAGGAGGAGCGGCACGCCGGCGAGCTGCCCCGCCCAGCTGGTATGCCAATCGGCATGCTGCGTGAGCGCGGGGGGCTCGCAGGCCTCGGCGGAGTTTGGCGGTGGCAGCTCCCGCAGGTGGACGATGGAGGCCTATGCTCAGGTCAGGCATTCTCCTACAGGCGGACTCTGGACGGAAAAAAAAATCAGTCGAAAAGAGTAAACCAACATGGTCAAAACAATAGAAAAAGCGTACCCAGACGACTTTTGCTGGCTGTTCTTGAACACTCCTCCTGTAGAGGGGCACGCCCGACCTCAGCCTGTGCGCAGCGCATCGCCTCCGGCGCGCAGGTGGGCCCGGCGGACTGCCCGTGGGGCCAGGGCGTCCTTGTGGTCGGCAGTCTGGGCCTGCGTCTCTGCGGAAGCTGACGGCGGGGCCGACACGGGCGGGTTTTCCGTGGCAGGGCTGGGCCTAAACGCTGCTGCTAGTTCTCTTGCCGTTCCGTGTTGTTGTTCTGCTCCGCCTGTCTCCCCGTGCCTCCCTGCCAGAGCGAAGAGCACCAGGCACGAGCCGAAGCCCAGCAGAGCAGCGTGTGGGTCCAGCCCTGGTCTGCAGTCCGGGCTTTCGAGGCCTCCTAGATGGGGACGGAACAGATGGGGTCGGAAGATGGCGCCGCATCGCCGACACATCGGCGATGCATCGGCGATGCATCGGTGGTGCACCGACGATTTATCGTCGACGTCAGCGATGCATCGGCGACGTCGGCGTGGAGAAAATCGGGCCCCGCATCGAGCCGCATCGCCGATGCATCGGCGATGCGGCGCGATCCTCCGACCCCATCTGCTCCGACCCCATCTAGGAGGCCTAGAGGCCTGCGTCTCGGGAGCGGCCAACAGGGGGGTGTCCAAGGGGGGGGGGTGCAAATCATGACCGGCGGCACGTGCGCGGCCCAGCGGGGGGGCCAGGGACGTAATGAAATGAGAAGAGGCGCCATAAAATCTGGGGAAATACCATGGCCCCCGCCATGATATCCCCCCCCCTTGTCATCACCCCCCTCTTTTCCGCTCCCGATTCTTGTCTTGTTCTTAGAACGTGTCGTGATAGGCCGTTTCCGTCCCCGAGCAGTCCGGGCCCACGTCTTGTGGAGACTGGCGCCCGGGCCGAAGCGCGTGGGCCCTTGGTGGGCCTGCAGATCCGGCGGGCTACCACAGCGGGGGCGTGCGCGTCGGCGGGGGGCCTCTCCCCGCGGCAGCCTGGCGCCGGAGCTGGCGGACGCCTCCGGCCGATCTCCTGCCGATCCTGCCCCCGCGCTCGTGCGGGAGGCGGGCGGAACGGGGCTCTCCTTGCGGGCAATACTTCTGTCCATATCCACTGCAGTACAGTCGGGGCGTTGACCTAAGGAACCCTAAATAAGGAACGAGGCCCCTTTTTTCCATAAGCTAAACTTCGATTTCCTATCGGAAACAAAAGGAAAACCTGAGGCAAGCTGTGAAACACTTAAGGAACGCGGAGCCCCTCCCCAACGAAAAGGGTTCCTTCTTCAGGGCCCCGACTGTATGGAGTTTCGGGCTCCCTTCCCCAGAAACCCGAGGCACACTGTATATGGATAATTAGCCCACCGTAGAGGCTAGGTTTTTATCCATGTCCAGCGCACCTCGGCCTCGTGGCGCCCCTTCCGAAAAATCAAGGGCGCACTGGATATGGACATAAATCTTGCCCGCAGGAGGCGGGCGAAACGGGGCTCTATCCGGGCCCACGCCGCTTACTCGGGTGGGTTCGGGCCGGTTGCCCTCTTGGGGGGCGGAAAGATACGGATACGTGTTGTCCCCGGACCTCTCTTGGGGTGCGTTCTGACCAGAATTTCGAGGCGAATCCAGCGGTGACAACGAGGATTCCCCAGGAGGACCAGGAAAGGCCGAAAACGACTGGGGACAACACGTATCCGTATCTTTTTCTCCCCCGACCCTCGTCCCAGGACGCGCGCGTCGCAGTTTTGGACGCCCGACATGGGTACCGAAAAAATGAGCACTATGCCCAACAACAAATGTTGTCCCAAGCCAACAGCGGCCGCTGTTTGGCAGGCGGCCTTCTGTCTCGAACGGACACAGGCCGCGGCGGCGCGGACAGCGAACCCTGCTCAAAATGAACAGGAACTGCTGTTGGGCATCGTACCCATTCTTTCGGTACCCATTTCGGGCGTCCAGATACTCGGGTGGGTTCGGGCCGGTTGCCCTCGTCCCAGGACGCGCGCGTCGCAGTGGCTCCGAGCCAGCAGGGCGCCCTCCCGGGCAGCGCCACGGGCGTCCGATGGCACCGCCAGGCTGCCGAGGGTGCGGCTCCCGCCCTGCTTCCCACTCCCCTGGAAGGGGCCCCAGGACAAACAGATAAATACTCCAGATTTCGTAATAAAAGGGAGGGGGTCTGGACCCTCCAAGACAAGCCATTTCAGACCTCCCCCGTGGGAGAACCCCCCAAAACATCGTCCCCAGACCCCCCAGGCACTCCAAGATAGCCTGGAAGAGACCCCCCCCCGAAATGAGACCCCCCTCCCTTTATTACGAAATCTGGAGTACACACACATAAAAAGATTCCCCACATTTTCCAATATTTTCTGGGTTTTTGTCTCCCCCCCACTTCCCATATTTTCCTATATTTTCTGGGGAGTCGACGATTAATTGTGTCTGTGTGATTTTTTCCCTCCTGATCTCTCCCTCCATCACCCACTCCGCGCTGGGGCGGATTGACCTTCCGCGCGGCGTGCTTCTTCTCCGCGTCCCTGGGCAGCATGCGGCGTGACGGGACAAGTCTGATAAGAAGCGGAATGAAGGAGGCGGATGAGGTTGAGAAGTGGTGAAGAATGTAGAGCGACGGGGGTCAGATGAGGAGGAGGAGGAGGACAGGACAGGACAGGACATCCGCATAAAGGGGGGCAACGTCGTCGCGCCTACAACGGAGCTTGTGGGGGCACGACTGGCACAGTCCCCTGCGATGTGAGTATGCCGCAGAGTTCCTCCTCCTACTGCATACTACCCATTGTGGGATCACGCTCTGCGGCGCGACAGCGAGGCACCAGTGACCTGCCAGCTCTCGAGTGCAGTATACGTACTTATCACGCGCAGGTGAATATATCACGAGGTGGTCCTCTATGCTGCCTAATAAAAAATTATAGTAAAACTTCAATGTGCACAGCTCCCCGTTCTGACTGCGCATAGCGCCCCGGGGTCGCGTGGGGCCTGGGGAACTCAGAGCGTGAATTACCTCCCCCGCTTTCGCTTCCAGGCAAAACCAAGCCATACCACGCGCCTCCTCGTCAAGCGGCCTGACCAGTACAGGCCGCAATGTGGCATCGTTTGGTATTTCTTGGAAGCGAGGGTGGTCAAAAGCGAGGTAGGTTTGTTTTCCCCCGAGGAACCAGCCGCGTGATGGGCAGTGGCGGCCGGGGGGGGAGGGGGAGGGGGGGGAGGGGGAGGAGGAGGGGGAGGGGAGGGGGGAGGGGGGGGGAGGAGGAGGAGGAGGAGGAGAGGAGGAGGAGGAGGAGGAGGAGAAGGAGGAGGAGAGGAGGAGGAGGAGGAGGAGGAGGAGGAGGAGGAGGGGAGGAGGAGGAGGAGGGAGGAGGAGGAGGAGGAGGAGGAGGAGGAGGAAGAGGAGGAGGAGGAGGGGGAGGAGGAGGGGGGGGCGGACCTCCGACGGGGCGCGGGCGCACCCGGCCTGCCACGCCCCTTCCTCCCCGCGGCGTGCACCCCGCCCCCCCCGACTTCCAGCCACGCCTCCCCGCACGGCGCCGCCCGCACCACGACGCCTCGTGCCCATCGCTGGCTATCCGCACATAGATGCCTTACAAATCAACGTCGAAACACGATAATACGCAACGAAGTCTGCAACTTGAACGTTGATGTAATCTTGCTCTTGAACGTGTAAGATCGATACTCGAAAATATCGGAAACACACATAAATTCGAATTTATTCAGTAACAAATGTTATCCTCCCCCATTCCCTCGCTCGGCATGCTCCTCGTCGTCTCCCGCCATCCGCCCCGTGCGCCCCGGGCCCTCCTCTCCCTCCCGCGGTGCCCCCTCCTTCCTCCGTGGTGCTGGCCCTTCTCCGAGGCCTCCCTCTCTCTGGCATGAGGAGCGACGGCCAGGAAGAGGAAGTGGAGGGGACGGGGAAAAGAGAATGGTGCGCCAAGAATGGAAGGAAGATCTGGCAGCTTTAGGCGCATGGTCGAAACTGGCGACGACATAATGCTCATAAGAGGGCGATGGGAAGTCCTCTTCCGCACAAGAGCGACAATCTGCTTCTCCATGCTCTTCACGTCCGAATCCTCCTGGGCCTGGCGAGCAGCGGACCAGCCGCGAAGGCTATGTCTACAGGTATGCGATGTTCGGGAGAAAGCAACCAACTCCTCCTCCTCCTGCTCCTCCGCCTCCTCCTTCTCCTCCTCCTCCCCCTCCTCCTCCTCCTCCTCATCATCATCATCATCCTCCGCCTCCGACTCAGGCTGCCATTTGGGCTCCCACGCGCGCGGGGGCGCGCGAGGGGGGCGTCCATCTGGCCCCAGACGCCGGCGGCCCGTGGCGATTGCGGGCGCTGGTGCACCTCGGCGACGGCTGGCCGCTCGCCCGACGGCGCCTGCCGTCGCCAGCCTGGCACAGGCGGCTGCGGCGACGCCGCGCGGAGGCACGCCAGGTCCTCCGCGTCGCGGAGGCCCACAGGACGCTGGCGGGCCACCACGGCGAGGCCATGGCGCAGGAAGATGTGGCCCATGGAGCCCCTTGGCGCACAGCTCAAGGGCGAGGCGGCGGCGGCTCTGCGCGGGCATGCGCGGCCACGCGGGCATGCGGGTTCGCCAGCAACTATGCGACCCGAGAGACTTGCTGGGCCTGCGGCCGCGACCGCCAGGGCAGGCCCACGGGTGCCAAGGGTGCCTGCCAGCCCACCAGACCGCGCTCGGCGACCAGACCTCGCTCGCTGGGTGCTGGCGGCGATCGCCTTCTTCGCAGCGCTCCTCTCGGGACCGACGGCGCGGGCACCACGGAGTTCAACGCGGTGGCCAAGTGTCGAAGGGCCCTCAAGGCGCTGCGCACCATCTATGATGAAGAGAACGCCCTCATCGTGGCTGCCAAGGCGGAGCTCGGTCAGGCCGAAACACAAGAGCGAGCTCACATGGCGCCTGCCGAAGTGCTCCGATCGGCGCTGGACAGGCAGGCATCCCGTGAAGAAGAGCGTGCAAAGCTCAACACGGAGGTTGACACGCTGGCAGCCCAGCTCACGTCGGCCACTGACAAGTTGGACCGCGTCAAGCAGCAGCTCCTGGAGTCCAACGAGGTGGTGCAGGCCCAGCTGGCCAATGCGGCACACCGCACCACTGGTTGGTGATGCGGCATCATCGGTGACGGCGCTCCAGCAGCTTCTCCAGTCAGCCCGCAACTCCATCCAGCAGGGCCAGGATCGCAACATTGTGGGCAGTGCCATCCTGGAGCAGCTGGTGGGACATGTGCGCACGCTGGGGACGCAATGCCGAGAACCTCGCTGCCAGGTAAGACGGCGATGGAGGTGGAGGCCTTTCGCACCGCGGGCGGGCAGCCCGCTGGCGTCGGCGCCCGCACAGCAGTCACAGCAGCCGCAGCGCATGCAGCACCAGCCGCAGCGCGTGCCCCAGCAGCACCACCAGCCCCAGCAGCACCGACGCCAGCGGGAGCAGCAGAGGCCGCGTGGGAGTATGCGGGCACCACGTAGACGAGCCACGCGTCGCAAGGCGCGCACCAGCATGGGGGTTGTCACATTCAATGGGTCTTGCTGGCGATCTTGCCAGCAGTTTTTGCAGAATGGAGCGACTGATGCGCTGGTGGTAACGGCTCAGAAACTCCGACTTGATGGTGAAGCTTTAGATCAGGCGCGGACATGGGCGACGAGAAATGGGTGGCAGCCATTCATCAGTCCATGCAGGCGCCTGGCTTCCAAGATGCCGAGTGCGGGCGTGGGGATTTTTGCCAGGGCGCATGTATCCACGACTCTTCTTAGTGGTGTTGGGGGCGTTACTGGCGGGTTTGAGATCTTACGCTCGTGGGCAGTGGCAGTGCACGTACACGCGGGGATCAAGGGAGGCTTCATCGTCGGGTCAGCGTACATGGAGTCAGTCCCAGATCCCGACTTTCTCACCACTAACTGCCAGAAGCTCATGCGCATCGCGGAGTGCATGCGTTACTTCTCCGCCCCGTTCATCTTCGCAGGCGACTGGGACACGGAGCCAGCCAACATGGAGGTGCTGGGCTTCCTGCTGATCATGCCTGCCATCGCTGTAGCCACTCGAACGTCGGGTGCATGTCGCTCGGCAAAGACGGGCACCTACAGCACCATCGACTACTGGCTGGCTTCACCTGGCTTTGCGAAGGCTTGTGGCGTCCCCTACGTGCTCGACTCTTGGGCCCCGAGGCCCCACTACCCTGTGCGCATGGACCTTGACGCGAAGCCCAGGGTGCACATGCAGATGCACCTGAAGGCGCCCAAGCCTTTTCCCAAGCAGGCGCCGCGGTACTCAGGGGCCAGTCCGTTATGTGGACCGCCCAAATTGCAACCCTACCTGGACGTGGTAAGGTAGGATGGTGATCTCGGACGACCTGAAGATGGGGCGCAGGCTCAGCGGCGGCTTGACGGCCCCCACGCCAACTTCATCTCGTTTGTGGAGCAGGACCTCTGCCACATCTACCAGGTGGACGCGCAGGATCGCGAGAAGTACTGTGGAAGAGCGGAAGCTCCTGCATACGTTTGGCGGCCAGTGGGAGGGCCCATCCTCAAAGGAGCTCCAGCAGCGGGCTCCGAAGCCCGCTGCATGCGCAACGTGACCATTGCGCTACAAGACCTGGCCGCTCAACTTGAAAGGGCAGCTACAACTTCGGCTTCGACTTATTCAGGCGGCATAGGCAGCGCGGGTTCCAGCGCGTTTGGGAAGTCTGATGTTGGCATGGCTACGCAGCGGACGACGCCACCAGATCGTGACAATGATGAAGTTTCTTCTGGGACATCTACTTATTCGGGTGGCACCAGTGATTCGGGATCCTGCTCTCATTCGAAGTTTGCAGTTGGCGTCCGCGAGGGACCTACACCACCGAGGCGTCGGGCTCCAGGTCTTATTGGGCCCAAATGGGCCCGCATCACGAGGGCTCTTCGTCCAGGTCATCGTCAGGACACCCATGCGACAGAGGGCATGATGCTGTTCGAGTGGGCTTGGCCTGTGCTACATTATGCGTGCAGACTGGAGGCCTCGCAGTACATCCTGTTTGCCAAAGCTCTTGCCCTGACCTTCGAAGACCATGCCAAAGGTCTCGAGCAGCTGGCAGCCAACAAGAGGGTCAAGAGCTTTCGCAAGTGGGCCCAGGACGCGCTTATCACAGGCGCCTCCCCAGTCTTCGGCATGACCAAGTTGAAGGGTTGGGCGCACAATGAGGTAGACAGGTTCGGCATTCGATCAGCCCTTCCTCAAGCAGTAGCGGACTGCCAGATGGATATGTGGAACGACATATGGCAAGGTACCAAGATCTCCAAAGTGGCGGGTAAGGACATCATTTACAAGGATGTGGACAGCATCACCTGTGATGTCAACATCGGCGACAACGAGTTCGACGTCGAGCACATTGCAGACGGCCAGGGCGGCCTGATGAAGCTCATCCACACCCTCCAAAGCGAAGCCTTGCAGACCCCCACGATTGAAGAAGTACGGCGTGCATCGAGATCCTTTTCGTGGAAGACGGGACTTGGTGCTGACGCAATGCCTCCACGAGCGTACTCTCTTCTGGTCGGCGATGGCCCACCTCCATCATGGCCATTCACGTGACGCTGTTGGCGAAGCCCTAGGGCGGCTTCAGGCCGATAGCACTGCTCCCGTCCATATACAGGGTGTACACCAAGATCAGGATCGCCCACGTGCGCAGGTGGGCGGCCAATCACACGCGCCCTTACTTCGCGCTGGGATCAGGACGTTCTACGATAGACGTGGGCGCGCGCACCATGGTCTACGCCGAGGCTGCCGACGCAAGAGACCAGGGCGCCATCATCACAGCCATGATCGACATCAGCAAGTGCTTCGACAGGCTCAAGTGGACCAAGATCATCGAGACCGCCACGCACTTTCAGTTTCCGTTTAGCATCCTGCGCCGTGTCCTGGCCATGCATGCCGCTCCGAGGCGCATTCGATGGGGGGCGACCTGCTCATATGCTGCCAGGGTCACACAAGGAGCTCTGCCGGGGTGCTCGGTGGCAATGCATTTGTTGCAACTGATCGTGATCCCCCCCTTCGATGTATATCAGGCGTCGATCACACAAATACCGCATACCCTCGACACCTATGCAGATGACATAACGCTTCAGATCATGATGAAGGCGGATGAGATAGTCCAGGCAGCTCAGGCGGCAATCGGCAGGTTGGCGGTGGTCCTCCAAGCACTGGAACTTCCCATCGCCAAGGACAAGGCTAAGATCCTGGGTTCAGCGGAGGACATTGCGGCACATGTGGTTCGAGGAGTTTCTCAGTATGGCTTTCAGGTGGTCAACAAGCTGAGCGTCCTTGGCCTGGAATGTCGCGCAGGGGCCCGCCTGACCTACATGGAGATCCACTAGCGCGTCAGGAAGATCAAGGAGCGGATTCCGAGGTTCAGGAAGCTCAAAAGCATGGCAAAGCTCGCCAAGCGGATCGCTCGGCCATGCTTGGCGCCAGGCATGACCTACGGCCTCCACGTGGTGGGGGCCCCGCCAGCCACGGTAGCCGCGATGATGAACGTGGTCCGCACAGGCTGGAGCAAGTCACCCACAGCTTCATCCACGTGGCTTGCATCACTCTTGGAAGAAGGCCCCAACCAGATGCCTGATGCGACGGCGACCGTGGAGCCCATCTACACATGGGCGCAGTTGGTGCTCGACCAAAAGATCCCCATGGACACGATTGAGCGCGCCTGGAAGATTCAATCGGCAGCCTTGGCATCGGCATCGACCCCATGGAGCTCCATCTCGGGACCTGCAGGCGCCGTCATCATCAACCTCAGGCGTTTGGGCTGGAGGGCACATTCAGCCACGCACTGGGAGACGGGCAACGGCATCGCGCTGAAGCTGTACGAGGCGGCGCCCAAGTGGGTGCGCACGATAGCGAGGCGCAACTATAGATCGGTGAAGTGGGAGGAGTGGGCATCCAAAGCGGAACATGCAGCAGAACACCCACCTGCCCCACGCGACCCGAGAGGTTACTGGATCGAGCCGATCGCAGCCATGATGCACGCACGTTCTGAGGCGGCTACTTGGAAGTTGCAGCCCAAGGCCAGAGGCGCCCTCAGGTCCACCATT